CTGGGCACAACCCCCTGCATTCAGCAGACCCGAACCAAGGACGGGGTGTTTCCCAGCTGTAAGCAGGACAATCCAAGTCTGGCTAATTAAAGCAGAAGGGGGATGTGTTGAAAGCTTTCTGGGAGTTCACAGGAATCTGGGTCTATGCAGAGGGAACAAAGCCCATGAATCATGCTGCAGACGCCTGCGTGGTCCCTCTGCTGCTGGCACTGCAGATGCTGTTGCTAGGCTGCCACCACTGTTGCCATGGAAGCCACAGAGGCTGTGTCTGCAAGTCACCCACTCAGAGCCTGGGGCAAGTGTGCTTGGGTACTCAGGGCTCAGGGCTGTTGTGTGTCTGCACATGTCATGCACTGCACCGATCCAGTGGCACCATTCACAGAACCAGGCCCTGAACAACCACACACGGCAGCTTTGTGTGTGTCTGTGCCCTAGATGCAAAAAAGGCAGGAAGCCCGTGTCTTCCAGTTTCAATGGTGGTAGGAAAATGGTGCTTCCTCGGATGGAGCTATCTCAAGCATAGTGCATTGGTTAGCTTTTGATTAGTGATTTAGTGATTTTAAACAATAACCATCTATTTAACCATTACTCATGATTCAGAGTCAGGAATTTGACTGAGACAAACTGGGTAGTTCTTCTGGTCTTGGCGGGGCTCACTGTTATGTCTCTGCCCAGCTGCTTTGGGACGGTGGTCTCAGATGCCCCCATGCAGAGGCCTGTTCTGCAGCCTGTGGCTTCTTACCCTCTACTTGCAAGCTTGAGGTGTTCAAGAGGTGGCAGAGGTGTCCCAGGGAATGAGAGTGGGGCGTGAAGGCCTCCTGCAGCCTAAGCTCAGAACTGGAGCATTACTTGTCACATTCTATGGTCAAAATAAGTTGCAAGGTGGGCCGAGATCCAAGGGTCAGGAAACGGACTCTGCCCTTGGTGGAGGAGCTGGCTGGGTCTCTTGCCCAGGGCTGTGCACGACTGCGGTGGTGTTTGCCGTCTGCTGCACATGGGAAGTTCAGGTGTAGGAGATGAGGACAGATGTCCATCACCACAGGATCTGGGAGGGGAGGGAAGGGCATCCCAGGTGGTCAGTGAGGGACGGGGCATGTGATAGCTGGTGTGAGAGCCAAACAGTTTCTTTGGGCCAGGCCACGCCAGTGCTCTGCCCACCATCGGTGACATTGAGGGCTTCTCACTCCCTGTTAACCTACTGGCTAATAGTCCACAGCAGGCTGAGGCCAGGTGAGAGCCCAGCCTGAGTCAGCATGTCTGGTTGTCCTCCCCTTGCTCCCTGCAGGCTGCAGCTGTAGTGCTCACCCCTCACCTCCACAGACTCCCCTGCCTAGCCCAGTCATCTACGGCGTGTAAGGGATTCTCCCACAATTAATGTGGATTATCCTGCATGGTTTCCATGGCTCAGGGATTTGGGAGTGGCTTGGCCGGGTGGTTCTGGCTTGAGGACTGTCACAGACTGCCATCAGGGTGACTGCAGGGGCAACAGCCTCATCTGAGGACCAGCTTCCAAGGAGGTGCCCTCACCCACTGACAAAGTGGTGTTGTTGTTGTTGGGGGCTGTGGTCCCCTGCCCTGTGGACCTTTCTCTGAATGTCCTTGTGACTAGGAGGCTGGCTTTCCTGCAAGTGACAACCAAAAGCACTTGATGGGAGAAACTGCAAAGTCACATGGCAAAGAGGTGTGGATGCCAGACAGATGGACATTGTGGCCGTCCCTGCACCTGCCACACACAGGAAAGAGAGCAACAGCTGCCGTGCTGTGTGACCTCGCTCAGAGCCATGCTGCCACCCTGGGATGTCCTGGTTATGCTGGCTGGAGGGCTCTGCATGGAGGTGCCTTGCCCACAGCTGTCAGTCCCTGGAGCTGAGGATAGGTGGGGCCACCTTGGAGGCTGGTCCAGGCTACCCAAGCCAGGTCATCCGAATCATACACTCAGTACCGTCTGAGAGGAGCTGAAGAGCTCGTGACATGTTCCCTGGACACTTACTGTGAGCCAGACACTGCCAGAAGCTCTGAGACCCCCCACTCCATGCCATGGGAGATGCGATACTATATTCTGTGTGTTTCCATTCACCCAGGTGAAAGAAACTTCCTCTGAGTCAGGTGTGGGCTTCGTGCACTACCTCCCAGGGGTCATCTCAGGGACAAGGTATTTAGACCCCGCCTGGATGGCACAGAGGGAGGACTGCACGAATGATGGTTTAGCAAATGTTGACATAGGCAAGCGCTTTGCGTGGCATGTTACCACCGCGAGTTAGATGCCTAAGCCCACGTTTATGGCCTCCTGGTGTCTGTGGCCAGCAGCTGAGCCTGGCCTCACTGGCCCCTCACAGGTGGAGGTCAAGGTGGATGTGGGCTGCTATCATCCCAATCTCTGGGGGAAAGATCCACTTTCTCATCTGGTCGGTCACTGACCCCTCTGCAGTGCAGCTCACAGCTCTCACATGACAGCTGGCTTCATCTGGGCAATCATGCAGAGAAAAGCTGGGTAGGGGAAGAAATGGGGTGGGGGGTAAAGAGAGAGAGAGGGAGAGAGGGAAAGAGGGAGAGAGCGGGAGTGAGGGAGATAGGGTGAGAAGGGGGAAGAAAGAGAGAGAGAGAGAGGGAGAGAGGGAAAGAGGGAGAGAGACGGAGTGAGGGAGATAGGGTGAGAAGGGGGAAGAAAGAGAGAGAGAGAGAGGGAGAGAGCGAGGGAGAGAGGATGAGAATGGGGGAAGGGAGAGAGAGAAGGAGAGAAGGGGGGAGAGAGAGTGAAGCAGAGAGGGGAGGGAGATGGTGGCTCTGGCCCTCTTGGAGTTTGCCTACCCCATGAGGGTCCAGCCGTTGGTATCTGAGGGCAGCTGGGGCCAGCACAGGTGACAGCTTCCACCTGGACCAGGCCTAGGAGCAGGTGCTTCCCCAGTATCAGGTCCCCACCTGGTGTGTGGAAGACGCCCTCCAGCCAGGCTGTGTGGCACTTAACACATGCAGGCTGATCTTGCCCCTGGGAACTTGGTGGCCATGGGTGGTGACACTGAGCCTACATGTGGATGCTCCAGCCCTTTCACCACAGTCCTCAGGCCTTGGGAGGTGACGGGAGTGTGGACACCCTGATGGAGCCCCCAGAAGGGCCTCACAGCTGGCTGAGGCCACCCTTGGGCCCCCACACCACCACTTGCACCCTTCCTGCTCCCCACAGAGCAGCCCCATGGATGGCCAGAGTGCCAGAGATACTTTTGCTTATGCCGCCCAGCAAGAGCTCTGGCCTCATGTGGCTATGGAACCACTTGAAACTGAGCTCAAGAGACAGAGGAGCTAAGGTCCTCATTTAATTTTAATCGAATCAGTTTAGATTTTAGGTAACCAATTTTAAGCAGCTAGTGGCTACTGCATTGGATGGTGCAGCTGATAGAACCCTGGTCCCAGGCAGTCCAGGGCCCCTGCACCTGCGTTGCCACGGAGCTGCAGAGAGGGGACTCTCAGGCCCTGCCTTAGGTCTTCAGATGCAGCACCTGGGTTATCACTACATCCTCAGTGGTTCAGAGGACAGGACCTGGATCCCAGCATCGGGGGACGGGGCCTGGAGGCCTCCCCAGACCCCTGGGCATTCTCCTGTGGGTTCCATCTATGCCAGGGCCTGTACAGAAATGGGCCCTTCTGTTCTCTATGTTGCTCTTGTAGCGAGAGGTCATGGGTGGGGGGAGAAAGCTGCCAGGGTAAAGCCTCATCATTAACTTCCACAGGGTGTGGTTTGTGTTCTTGAAGAATTTTGTCTGGATGGGGAGACAGACGTGTAAACACTGACAGGCAAAATATCGGGGGGTGTGTGGCACCCCTCCTGGGGGAGGGGTTTAACTACAACTTGGACTTCACCTAACAAACACAAACAATGTCACCTAATCATCTTTACCTTATATTAATCTGAAAGAAAACTAATAACAAAGAGAAACAAACAAACATATACCACTGGAAGGCCAGTGGGGAGGCTGAGTGCAGGGAAGGGCGCCAGGTGCGTCTGGTCTGTGAGGGCGGCGGGGCAGAGAGGCGGGGCAGGTTCCTGGGGCAGCACTGAGCCAACCCTTCAGATGGTTTTGCTTTCTTCAGGGAAAGATGGGGTGCAGGAAGGGAGAAGGCTGGGTTAGGCCCTGGGAAAAGAAAACCCACGGAGGAGAAAATGGAGCTTGCAGGTGATGGCATCGCCCAGGGTCAGGCTGTCTTTCGGGAGACTCAGAGGCACACGCAGGCCGAGGTGGGGCTCTGCATTCTGGCTCCAGGCCGGCCACTCCCTAGCTGGCCACCTGGGAAGACTTTCTTACTTGCAGGACGGGTGAACACCTGCTCTGCAGGCGAGTTATGTGGAAGCCATTTAGTCACCTCTGTCACCACATCTTGCTCACTTGTTGGTCCTCAGAAAATTCTCTAGACAAAGGGATCTTTGAGGCGGGATGCATTTGTGTGTGTTGCACATCACAAGGCCAGCATCCCCTTGGCAAGGTTTCCTTTCTCAAGGGTCCATGGACTTCTTTAAATTACATTAAAATTTTGTGTGCATGTGCTTTATTCCAGGCCTGAGGGTTCTTAACCTTTGTCAAACTCCCCACAGGCTCGGTCTTCTCTAGTAGGTTAGGACCAGATGCTGGGTATGCTCAGCAGCCTAAATTAATAGGTGACGTCTAGAGGTAAAACTTTAACGCAGGGTACCAGCTGCACCAGAACGGTGGGGGTTTCAGGCTCAGGCCAGGGGCAGAGGCGGTTTTGTCAGGGATGCAGAGCCCACAGGTTGCAAAAATCTAGAATCTCGGCCCCATCTCAGATCTTTAGACTCAGCGGCTGTGTATTCCCCCTCTTCCCCCTGCACTGGAAGGCAGGAGCCGGTCTGGCTGCAGGCCTGGCATGCAAGGGCCTTGCAGAGACCTGCCTGGCTTTTCTGGGGAGGGGCTGGTCTACCTCTGGGCTCCATGTCCCCACAGCCCTTGTGACATCACACAGGAAATTCTATCCTTACCCCAGTCCTCTACACATTCTCTCCAACCTGGAACTCAAGCACCATGGGACCTTGGCTGGCTTGTGGACAGCAAGAAATCCAATCTTAAATACTGGACTTCGGACCCCTGGGTGAGGTTGGAGTGCTGTCTATGACCACTTTGCTGTTTTAAAGTTGGCATTGCCAAAAGAACAGGGCAGGACCAGAGACGAGTTTCCATAGTGCAATGGGTGCCTGACGCTTGGCAGACCGTGGGACCACCACTCTGCTGTTGAACTGTGCTGGGCAGGGCTGAACACCAGGAGGGGATCCAGGGTGGGGTGAGAGGTCTGGGCTCTGGCCTTTGCTCTGCTTGGTTTTAAGTCCTGTGACTTTGATCTTTTAAAAGAAAATCTACATGACTAAGCCCATGGTGAAGTAAACCCATGATCAAAAGAAAAGTCACAAATTAGGACAAAACTTATAAACTTATATATATGTCAATAGTCACCCGTTTCCAGGACCTCAGGCATAACCTTGGGTTCCTCCAAATCCCTGCTGACACTCACTCCAGTTTTATCTCAAACTTGAACAAACTGCATCTTTTATTTCACCACAAGTCTTATGTTTTTGGCTAAAGGTGTCTTTAGGATTTACTGACATTGATGACAGAAGTCCCTGAGGCTTTTTTCTTTAACAGGGAATATGTTCTCAGCCAGGGTGGTCTTCCCCCGCTGCTCAGAGGAGGGTTTCCCGTTCCTGCACCTCCTAGCCTTGCCTGGTCACAGCTTTTGTTATTTTAAGGCTAATTCCAAGGGAGTGACAACAGTGTGAATCCTGTTCCACTGTGAAATTTCAAGGTTATACTTTTTCCACTAGAAGTGAACGATCCCCTCCTTTCTGATGATTAAGATGAAATTCACATGACAAGCTTTAGCACATTTGTCAGACATGACAGGCTGGCTGACACCCCGTCTGGTCTCACCACAGCATAGAATGTGTTTAAAGGCTTCTTCCACAGACAGTGGGAAGGGTCTGGGAGGACAGGTTCAGAGGAGCTGCTGCAGGTGGTCTGAGAGTTCGGGTGGCTCTGGCAGGTGCTCTGGAGGTCCGGCTGGCTCCTTCTTCTCGTTTGGACCTTGGCTATTTTGTCACTAGAAATACTTGGGGACAATTAGCAGAGAGAATTTGTCAGGCTCATATCATGAAAGGCGCCAATCTGTGACCTCTACCCACCAGCACGGAGAACCGGCCTCTCTAGACCCCCAGCTCCCTGCTGCCCTGGACCAGTGGTGAGGACTTCCACAGTGCCCCGCTGTTTCATGCAGGGACATGCCAGGGGCCACCTCTGGGATCAAGCTCAGGATGTTGGCCCAGGACTGAGGTTAGCCCACTGCCCCAGCCTGCACCTGCTGCCCCATTTTCTATGCCTAAAAAGTGGGGTTAGGGGGTGGCGCCTGTGGCTCAAAGGAGTTGGGCCCTGGCCCCATATACCTGAGGTGGTGGGTTCAAACCCAGCCCTGGCCAAAAAAAAAAAAAACAAAAAAAACCCAAAAACAAAAAAGTGAGGTTGGGGACCCAGAGTTACTCCTTGGGGGATATGGCAGGATATAACCTGTGCTAGAGTCAGGCCTCTTCCCAGGAAATGACGTGACCAGGCATTTGGGAGCATAGCCAGCTGCTGCCAGGTTGTGGGGCAGAGGGAACCTGCTGACCAGAGCTTGAACGGCAGCCTGCTCTAGGCCCAGATGCTTCTCATGCCTTAGGGAAGGGTGTAATCTTCCTGAAACCACTTCCTAGAAATACAAATCTTCCTCAGAGTCATCCCAAGAAATGTTTCATAGTTAGGGAAAGTGGTGGTGGGGGGCAGGAGGGAGGAGGGGACAGCAGGCAGGTGCAGCTGGGGGAGACGGCTCTCTGCTCTGATTGCCACAGGATTGGCTCCAGCGCCTACCCATACCCACCAGTGGAGCCTGGAACAACTTCCAGCCCTTGATTCCAGCCTGGATGTCCCTGCTCCTACTGCCCGTAAATGCCTCTTTCACTCTGCCTGGCCTCACCCACCCTGGGCTTCAGCACCTCCCTCTGCTGTCTGTGACCCTGACCTTTATCATCCCACAACTCCAGTCTCCAGGGTCCTCCTGCTTGCCAGCACCTCATATTTGACATGATCAATCCATGTCTGCGCCCTTCTCTGTGTAACATCTCCTGCTGGTGAGTCCCCCAGGTGCGAGACTGGGAACCCACTGGTGCCTCCCTTCCAACTTATGCGGGAAGCATTTTGGACGCACCCCCAACCCCCCAGACACTTGTCATTTCTCGCCTGGATTCCTACAACCTCCTCCAATGTTCTTCTGCCACTGACATTTTCTCTCTCTGTTTAATGTGTCCTCTGTTCATTGGCTCAGTGAGCTGTCTGTCAAAGGAATCTGAGGACCCCTCCCCTGCCTCAGGTGTGCAGTCACCATGCAGATGGGCCAGGCAGGGCTCTCCCACCATGTGCTGCCTCCTGCCCCTCCTGCCCCTGCCTTCTCTGCTTGTGTTGGTGACTCTGGGTTCACATTTCTTCCCTGCTCATGCTTGGAGTGTCCCTCCCTGGGGTGGGTGCTCTTCATCCACCAAGGCTCTGCTGGCCTTCTTGGGAATCTTCAGTGAGCCTGGGCTCAGCCTCTGGCCTCAGTGCTCCTGCAGCCTGTGTACCTCCCTCCATGCCCTGGCCTGGGGCTGCTCCCATTGCTCCCTGGCTAGTGCACAGGGGACAAGCCAGATGGTGCCTGCCTCTGACCAATGACTATGTACTGGGTGTTATCCTGGCTGGCAGGAACTGATGATGCTTCAAATTCCCACAGTATAGGTGGAGGTTGGCAAATTGCTGTTGGCTGCCCATCACCTGTCACCTGTTTTTGTACAGCCCATGAGCTCAGTATGATTTTCACCTTTCAAATGGCAGAAAAAAATGAAAAGAATAGTTCGTGACATAAAGTCATATGAAATCCCAATTTCAGGATTTATAATAAGGCTTCCTTGGGACCCAGTGAGTTGTTTCTTTATGAGTCACCACGCTGCTCTGGTCCTGTTTGCTGGCTCTCTGCAGGGCAGTCTGGCCACTCCGCGGTGTGGCACCAGACAGAGGCCAGTTTGAATTTTCTCTCCACGGGAACATGGGACAATGAAGCACTGTAAGGGGGTTCTGGGAGCTGGGGAGACTCTGTCAGGAATGGCGCACGTGCCTGGTGGATAGATCTTCAATGGGAGGAGCCACATGGAAAACTCTGAAGTCCTGTTGAGAGTTTCTTTTGCTGATGAGAACTTATTAAAGATTTTTAAGACCATTGCTAAAAATTCAAATTACTTTTAAGATCACTAATAAGAAGGGATATTAAAATAGCGGGTGCTCCCTGATAAGGTGCATGAGAAGGCTTTGCAAACCGTGTTCCTGCACTGTCCAACAGAGCTCTGTAATGCCAGGAAATATCTTCTGTGCTGACCAGGACAGTAGCTCTCGGCACACATAGTTTCTGAGCATGTAAACTGTGCCTACTACAACTAAGAAACAGATTTTCCATTAGATTTAAATCTGAATACCACATGTCCTGAGTGGCTCCCATCTTAGTGTAACTGTGGATGCTGAGACACCACGTGGCCATTGATGCCCAGGCCCTATGTAGCTCATGGAGGAGTGCCTCCCTCATTACAGCTCTGCTTTCTGGGCCGTGTAGGTGGCTCTTGTACATCTGCCCCACTCCTCCCCCCACAATGTCTAGTAAATTGCCTGGGAACTGATGGCTCCTCTGAGCTCACATCTAAGGTGGCTCCTCTGTGGCCCTTCACAAGGCTCTGCTCATTTTCCTTTATCTCAGTGAAATACATTTTAATCACATTGAGTAGCAGGGTCTTAAATGCCAATGGAGCTTACCAAGAGAGTGACGAAGAGTTAAAGAAAATGTTTCTTGGAAGGTTCCTTTTTATAACTCCTCATCTCTAGCACAGTGTGCAGGGTAGGGCTAAGCAAGCCGGCACTGATGGGGGAACACTAAGGAGAAAGCCCACAGACACAGTCCCTCCCCACGTTATTCATTCTGCCAGTGAAACGGGGATTTCCAAGGGCCAGATTTCATTTGGAAAATGAAAACCAAATTTTCCATATGGCTTTTTTTTTTTTTTTTGAGACAGAGCCTCAAGCTGTCCCCCTGGGTAGAGTACTGTGGCATCACAGCTCAGAGCAACCTCCACCTCCTGGGCTCAAGTGAGTCTCCTGCCTCAGCCTTCCAGGTAGCTGGGAGCCCGCCACAATGCCTGGCTATCTTTTGGTTGCAGCTGTCATTGTTGTTTGGCGGGCCAGGGCTGGATTCGAACCCACCACCTTAAGTATATGTGACTGGCACCTAAGCCACTTGAGTCACAGGTGCCGAGCCTTCCGTATGGCTTTTAATGTGTCATATATCCTGTACCCTTTATATCCTATATATTATATATTGCACATATGATATACCACATATATGTTATAATATAACACAGCATATAGATTGTATATGTAACATATATGTCCTTCAGGTCATATAGATCCCATAAATATCATATATCACATATGGAAATTAGCTTTAGAAAATCAGCCAATCGGAAAGTGTGTTTACCTGTTGTACCCCTGCAACCTGAAAGTATGGACTTGGACCCCACTTAAGTGCAAATCAATCGGAGGTTTATTGAAGCTGTACAAGGGACTGCTACTCTGAGACAGTTTGTCCCAGTAGTGGGCAGGTTGCCTTATATAATTTTTTTTTTATTAAATCATAGCTGTGTACATTAATACAGTCATGGGGTACGGTGTACTGTTTTTATATACAATTTGAAATATTTTCATCAAACTGGTTAACATAGCCTTCATGTCATTTTCTTAGTTATTGTGTTAAGATATTTATATTCTACATTTAGAAAGATTCACATGTACCCTTATAAGATGATCCCACCAATCATCCTCCCTCTACCCATCCTCCCCCTTCCCTTCCCCTCCCTCTTCCCTTTCCCCATATTCTTGGGCTATAATATCATTTCATAGTAGGACTGAGTACACTGGATACTTTTTATTCCATTCTTGAGATACTTTGCTAAGAAGAATATAATTTTTGAGCAAGCATACTACAGAAGCAAAATG